CGTTCATTAAAATGAACAAATCTTTTTTCGAGTCATTTCGTTCATTTAAAGGGCTTTAAATGTTATACTTTTAACAGGCAAATTCCCTGAACACATCCACCTACGCAGTCCCTTTATCATATTCTGAATTAAGAAATCATTATAATGCAGTCAAAAAATAATTTACAGGGAACATAAATAATTACCTTCCGAGTCTTTCGTTCATTTGTCACGTGACAGACGCAATGAACTGATTGTTCATGAACGGATCAAACCCTGCTTCAGATACAGAGCTCTTGCAGAGGCAGTGATCAGGCCAAACTGTGGCGTATATAACAGGCCTAATTTGTGAAACTTGGGCCTTGTCCACACGGACACGGGTATTTTTATAAACGGAGTTTTTCCTACAGCGTTTTAAAAAAAATCCTGTCCACACATGCTCGGTCTCCGTCTACATGAAAACGCAAAAACACGCTATCAAGCGCGGTCAAGAGCATGCCACGCCAGCAGGTGGCGATATAAACCTTAACCATAAAGCCACGTTGGCCAATCAGAAGCGCAAATCTGACGTCAAACACAGCGGATAACGGCGCACACTCTGACGTCGCAAGGCAAAAACTATTATGTGTCCTTTTTGTTTTGAGATTTCTTATTGTTTAGATGATGTTGTTTTACATGTTTGTTATTTAATCACCTCTATCTTTATTTTTTTATTGTGCAATCATTAAATTAATTGTACATTTTGAAAAAAAAACTAAATGTAAAAACAAATTTTTTTTTTTTTTTTGCATAAATCAGGGTTTATACTAAACAAGGACTGACATTTTTAAAATTAGGGTTAGGGTTACCAAAAAAATTCTCCGTGCGCGCACTGAAATTTTACTGTCTCACTCCAGCCAAAGTCCCAAAGTTGGCAACCCTGATTCACAGTGCGCCAAACCACTACCATCTGGCCATGGATGTCTTTGGTTCCTTCACAACTGCAAGCACTTCAAAAGATGACACTAGATGACATCATAAAACATGAGTACTGAATACTTCTCAAGTCCATCCTGTGGGGCCAATGTCGAGAAACACTTTAAAACCTGCAGTCTTGGCAGCAGAGAACAGAGACTTCATTGGATGTGATTACCAAGTCCAAACGTTACGCTGAGGACTTGAAGGTAAATGTCAAATCTAGTTTTACATTGTATAGTTTATGGTTTTATTTACACAAAGAATGGAATATAGTAAATGTACTGTAAAGAAACAGTAATGAAGTGAAAATGTACTTAGATAATTGCCTTAGAGAGAGTAGCTAATTTTCAAAGTGCTTAAAGTATGTATTACGGCAATACATGTTTGAAAGTACTATTTTACACAACACATTTATGGAACAATTGCATTACATGTAAATACAACAACAATAGTAGGACAACATCGGAACAACAAACCCTTTTGTCAGTACAGAAAGTAACTGTAGTGTGTTTTGTCTGTAAAGACTTACTACATTTATTTACACAAAAAATACGATTAATTACCTGCCTGGGTTGCTGCAATTTTGAAAATTAAAATCCCAAATTTGACTAATTGGTATACATTAACTTATCAGTCCTTAAGTCAGGTACAACGTTATGAGCTTGGTTGAGACCATAAGATAAGGGAATTTATGATTTTTTGCCATTTTTTTAACTATGTCAAGTAAATGTGTCATTACCATCACAACATCGAATGTATGTAAAAAAAATAAAACTTAAATGATAAATCAGTGCTTTTAAAACATTTTATCTTGAACTTAATGGGATTGTTGATTTTTACTTGCAAGATGAATTATAGTCATTTAAGTATCTACATTTCTGATTCATCAATCTACCCTGGCTTGGAATATAAGCTTATTTTAAGTGAATGCCATAGATCAAAACTTTTTTAATACAGTGATAATTTAGACTGTCCAACTTTGTCAGAAATATATAATTGTTTTTGTAATTTATACATAATTTATTGGCAAAAATATGTATGGTGATGGTGATGGAGATGACATTGCAGTTCTGGTAATGACAGTTTGTTGCGGTGATGACAAATCACTGATCATAACCTATTGTAATTTAAGAGCCTAAGTGCCTTCAGACCAAAAAAAAAAACACCAGCTATTAATCGGTTTAAACATCAAAACATAGTTTAATCTGATTATGGAAGACCAAACAGGAACTGTGTGTATCTGCCGTTATCACCACCACAACCTGTCATTACCAGCACAAGCTGTAATGTGCTGGTAATGACTGTGCTGGGAATGACAATTTAGTAAAAAAAACTAGCCTTGCTAGCTAAGATGATGACTAAGCAAGTGTAGCTAGCTTTCTACATGTAATGTACACCAATTTAACTAATAAAGTGATACAAATAATCCAAAAATGTTTAAAAATACAGAAATACAACACATATGGTAATGAAGGGTTGGTCAAAATCCCTTGCCTCTTCAAATACATCTATAATCATATATCCTTTTGAATGGTTATATACTTCCTTTATAAAAATCAATAATCAAATATATTCATTATCACATAATAATCTTTATATTCTTTGTGCTTGTGGAATTATATTTTCTTAAATGCATGTGATGTAACTAACCAGTTTCTTTTAGGTGCATTCCAATCTTACTTTGAGATTGCACGTAGTCCACGCAGGACACGAAGGCCACGTAACCCACAAGGCCGTTTGTCTCTTTCTCTGGTATCAGTAGAGGGTCCTAAAGGCAGCGTGGGCACATATGATCCTTCGTTGGACATATGGTCAAGCTATATTGAGCGTTACAATCGAACTTTAATTGTTGTATTAAAATATATTCTTTCCAGTATATTTCCTTCCTTGGGAGTAAATGCCAGTGATCTGTTTTTCTCCCAAACGAGTGAATGTTTTAGCATTATGTTTTGGTATACTTAACTGATAATAAGGAGCTCAGACTCTCTTCAGCCTTGATGGGAGCTGTTATTTGCTAGTGTCTGTTGTTTGTGTGTGTGTGCGTATGACATTCTATGTAGGTTCTGGACATGGCCGTAGCCAGCTATGAGGTCACCGAGGTCCGGACCTCGGTTATTTTTTTACATTCCAATTTTTTTTTTTTTTTTTTTTTAAGCTCTCTGAGTGATTAATTAGCTGTTTAAAACACCTCAGATGAGTTTTTGCAATTCATTTTGCTGCGAGAATCTAGCGCGCTGTGAACGGGGCTTGAGAGCGCGTTGTGAGCTATGCTTGTGAGTAAGGGCGCGGGTGCCAGATCCTACCAGATCCACCTAATGGAAAGGTGGCAGTATTGTCTTCTGGACTTGTTTTTCTGATTTAATGTCACACTTTAGGAAGTTATTAAAGTGGAAAGTTGCATTTTAGTGTTCGTGATATATTAATCTTAATTCCAAAACTCAAGCATTGAACTTATTTCGGATTATTATTATTATTACTTTTTTTGCTTCTTTTTCGTAGCAATATCTGGCAACATTTCACTACCGGCATTAATAAAAAAAAAAGCTTACAAACAAACTGTAATTGCTGACAGGAAGATTCCAGATTCGGTAAGACAAGGCAATGATCATCGTGATTATCTGTTAATAATGTATAACCCTATCAAAAATAATAGCAATGATCTGTATGTTACAGAATTTTATATGCCAAATACTGGCCAGCAGGAAGACGGCTGAAGCTGTTTAGTTAACCTTTCACAAAGTCATCATAAAAACATTAATTAAAGCAGTGTTTCTCAACTGGTGGGTCGCAAAAAGGTTTTGAGTGGGTCACGGAGTGTGCAGTCAAAGAAACAACAAACGCAATTCTGTTTTTCTGCCGGTAGACTTTTTTTGTGAAAGACGTGAAAGCGGTTGACTGTTCTTTCAGGGCCTGAGAAAAACGTCCTCATTTAGTACCTACGGTCAGATGAGATGTTTTCAATGTCAAGTTTTATGTTAGTGTAATTATTCTAACGTTATTTTTTATAACTTGTCACAAAATAAAAAGTCTCTCACCTAAAAAACCCGAACTTTCTTGTCCTGACATACTGTGCTTGTTGCGCGCACTCTTCAATTACACGCGCATATGCGGGAGCGCGCGTATGTCACTTCATTATAAAGAAAAGAAAAGAAAATAAACTACAAGCATGATCAGATGCAACATCATATTCGTAGTTTGATGTAAAATAGTAAATCATTAAAAATACAAAATCAAAAAGTGCCAATAAATGATCTAACTTCATGCATTCGCTTAGAATGACATGCAGGTGTGTTCATTCAATGTTCGCGCTATTCATCAGGATCAGTGGTCAGGTTCAACAGCTCATGTTAATATTGTGTATTTACCATGGTAACAGTTGTTTGTTTAACTACAAAATGCCACTTTTTTGTCACCGTGTATTTGTAGGCCTACTATATTTCTAAATGTAAAAAACATATTAACAAAACTATTTTGGAACTGCTATTACTAGCCTTACCAAATACCTTATATCTCATACACTCTAAAAAATGCTGGGTTTTTCAACCCAAATTTGGGTCAAATATGAACAAACCCAAATGTTGGGTAAAAAATTTAGATTTTTACAGTTGAAAGTGAAAGTTGAAGTTGGGTTAAAATTGTAAATTACATTTTAACCCAACATTTGGGTTTGTCCATATTTGACCCAAATTTGGGTTGAAACAACCCAGCATTTTTTAGAGTGTACATACTCATCAGTATGTGTCATTATTATATACAGTATGTGTATATATATATATATATATATATATATATATATATATATATATATATATATGTCAAATTCTTTTAAGCAAAAAAGGGTTGCAGCTTAATGTCCATGGGGAAATGTGGGTCCAATCGCGTAACCACTTGAGAACCACTGCGTTAGAGCACAGACAAAGTTATTATTACTTATCCTTATAGCAATGTTTATTATGGAAATCTATTACAGTAAGCAGTATTGTTACATTACAAATTGTGATGCAATAAAGGTCTAATTTGACAATGTTTATCCTCCAAAACAGACAGAACAGAGAGAGTGTAGAATGGCAAAAAGGTTCCGGCAAAATACATTAGATGTTTTTCTTAAAAAAAAGCCTAAATTGAAATATCAGGATGATGAATATGAGGACAGAGAGAAGAGCAAAAGAGAGGAAGAGGATAGAGATCAGAAGGAGACAAAAAAGAGCAACAGAGAGGAGGATAGAGATCAAAACGAGATGGAGGAGAGCAACAGAGAGGAAGAGGATATAGATGAGAGGGAGCTAAAAGAGAGCAACAGAGAGGAAGAGGATATAGATGAGGAGACAAAAGAGAACAACAGAGAGGAAGATAGAGATCGAAACAAGATGGAGGAGAGCAGCAGAGAGGAAGAGTATAGAGATGAGGAGACAAAAGAGAACAACAGAGAGGAAGATAGAGATCGAAACAAGATGGAGGAGAGCAACAGAGAGGAAGAGGATAGAGATGAGAAGGAGGACAGAGAGCAGAGGAACTTAGATGAGGATGACATTAGTGATGAACAGGGCAGCGAGAACACTGAAGATGGGACTCTACATCCCTTTGACCCTGTGAGAATAAAGAATAAAATAATTAAGGAGGAGAGACTCACAGATGGAGATAAAGCCTGTTTGCTCCAAAATAGATGGATACCACCAGAGCAACATATCTATCCCTATCGTACATTTGGCGCAAAACAACTAAGATACAATGTCCAGTGGGAGAAAAAGTACGAATGGCTTCGCTACTCACCATTTGAGGATTCAGCATATTGTGCTCATTGCCTCAGCTTTAATAAGTTAAAGGGCTCAAACTTTAGTTTTCTTACGAAGGGCTTCACTGACTGGAAGAATGCTGTGGGTGAAAAGAGAGGAATCATCCCAAGACACTGTTTAACAGAAGGACACAGAAAATCCACAGAAAAGGCAGAAAACTTCCTTTCTGTTATCCAAAAAAAGAACAGGATATTAGTTCAATTATCAGCCAGAAGTATGAAGAAAAGGTCATTGCAAATCGTAACAGTCTTCTATCTATTATTGACATAATTGTGTGTCTTGGCCAGCGAAATATTGCATTCCGCGGGAGCTGGGAAGGGGACAGTGAGAATGGAAACTTTAACCACTTCATTAACTGGAAAGCACAATTTGATGTGGCCTTAAAGCAACACATGCAGACTGCACCCAAAAATGCAATATACCTTTCACCCGCAATTCAGAATGAGCTTATTGAATGTTGTGCAGAGGAAATCAGAGGGACCCTAATCAAAAGGATACAGGCAGCCAGGTACTTCACTGTATTAGCCGATGAGTCCTTGGATATAAGTGGGACTGAACAGATGTCCATATGTGTCCGTTACGTCAATGAGGAGGAAGAAAACCTAGAGATAAAGGAGGATTTTCTCGGTTTCTGTCCCTTGCCCAAACAAGATGCAGCAACAATAACCTCAGCCATTCTCAATCAGCTGACAAAGTGGGGTCTTCAGACAACTTTCCTAAGGGGTCAGGGCTATGATGGGGCCTCTACAATGAGTGGCAAAGTGAGTGGGGTACAAAAGAGAATCAAGGAACTGTACCCCAGGGCAGTGTACACCCATTGTAGGAGCCATGCACTTAATTTGGTTGTGGTGCATGGTTGTTCTGATCTTCCTTTAGTGAGAAACACAATGTCCATCATAGAAAAAATTGCCGTGTTCTTCTCAGCCACAGGGGCCAGGAAAGATGCCCTGCGGGCAGAGAGTACAAGAGAAGGGCAACCAAGAACAGCAGGGATCCCACTTATGTCAGACACTAGATGGGGTAGCAGAGCAAACACACTGAGTGCTTTTGTGGAGAAGTTCACTTCTATACATTCTGTGTTGGAGACCATGGAGGCAGAAGTAACTACCACCTCTGGAAAGGCCAGTACTCTCCGGCATAGTATTGGGACATTTGAGACCATCATTACAGCTGTAATAGCCAACAAAGTGCTGGGTTATATGCTACCTCTAACCAAACAGCTGCAGTCTACCAACTTGGACATCATCACAGCATACGAGGAGGCAAGAAATGTACGGCAAGTCATAGCCAACCAAAGAAATGAGCAAGGATTCAGTCCATGTTTTCAAAAAGCCACAGCATTGGCCAATTCAGTTGATGTGGTCCCAGCAAAGCGTAGAGTGTCTGTAAAACAGAATTACAGACCAAACATATCCACAGAGTCAGTGGAACACCACTATCGGGTGAATCTCTTCTATCCCTTCATAGATCACATAACCAGTGAGCTGGATGAGAGATTCTCTGAAAGTAATGAGCCTGCATTACTAGCAGCTTACCTGGTACCAAACGCTTTGAAGAAGCTCACAGAAGAAAGAGAGAAAAGACTGGTAAAGTGGTACCATGAGGACCTACCTTACCCAAACACAGCAGAGCAGGAAATAGAATGCTGGAGGCACAAGTTTCTCTCTGTAGATGGGGTGCTGCCTGCATCAGCATTGGAAACTCTGAAAATCACACAGATGGCCTTCTTCCCCAACATCCAGTGCATGCTGAAAATTTTTCTTACACTTCCTGTGACAACATGCGAATGTGAAAGATCATTCTCTGCAATGCGAAGGCTCAAAACATGGCTGAGATCTTCCATGTCTAGTGAAAGGCTCACAGGACTGGCGTTGATGCATGTTCATCAAAAAATTAAGCTGGACAAGGAGAGAGTCCTTAGACGATGGGATGCCTCTGGCCACAGGAGGATTCAGCTAGCCTTCAATGGAAAGGTAATGCATGTTATGTAGAGTATAGTCATCCAACATTCATTTCCCTTTTGCTTTTGCACTGATTATAAACTATATGTCTGAAGTCTGAATCTGTCTTTTTTATTTTGTCATTTCAGTGAGCCAAGGATTGAAGAGTAGTACACACACACACACACACACACACACACAAGCTATAGCAAATAGCCTGTAAATAGTTTGTAACATGACTGTAAAATGTAAAACATTATATTGAATAAAAAAAATATTTCACAAACATCTACATGTCTGTCTATTTTAAAGTTTAGGTTATATGGAGTGTATGAGTTGCATTTGTGGATGTTATTATAGCACAATGCTTTACACCTCACCCCGGACCTCACTAATTTTCAAACCCTGGTTACGGCCTTGGTTCTGGACGTTCGGACCAGACAACCCGGCGCCCTTCTCTAACCTGCGAGGCCACCACAGACCTAAATCTAATGAGTGGACGACAACCATCTTGACTAATGGCGATAGGCACCCCTATCTCCTCACATGTGTTAAATTGTTTAGGCTCTTAATGTTTCTTAGCCAATGAGAATCATTCAACCTGTAAGCAATGACGTAGCTTAGACCTTGGAAATGGTATAGCTGCTGTGATCTTTGTAGGGCTGTCAAAATTGCTCAAAAATGACGTTCGAATATTCCCTCTAAAAAAAACACATATATTCGAACTATTCGAATATCTGGTTGCGCATTTTGTCAATTGCGCATTTTGCGCATTTTTGCATTATGTCAATAACAGGACAAATTAATACAAAGAGACACAACTACTTGTATAGGTAGTTTATTTAAGTTTAAACATATTTGACAACGTATTAACTTACACAAAACCAAGTAAATCAACTAATGGCCAAGACCGCAGACCTTACTCTCGCTCGCACTCGCAGGCACTCTCTCTCTCTCTCTCTCTCTCGCCCTCACGCTCTCTGCGCATAACGGTTTAAATGAACAACAATAAACAAATGTTGAGTGCTGATCAAGTTTTGTGCAAGCAATTTAAGGTCGCGACTCTTGTCCTAAATATAGCAGGCTTCATTCGGTGATTGAAACAAATATTATTAACATTAATTGAAGTTTTACAGTATATAGAACCGACATTGAACGCTCCGAGCGAGCTGTGCTGTGGTAAACTCATGGGTAAACTGCTGCTAGCTAGCCTGCTACTATGGCTATTTCGAGGGCGTCTGGCCACGCCCCCATTGGCGGGCTCTGACGTGTCTGATGTAATGCTAGCTCATTGGCGCACACGTTGGAGGCGCCCGTGCCATTGGATGTGCAGTTGACGCAGCACAGCCAATGAGTGAGCCAGACACTCACTGTGTCTGTGCAGCTGGAAAATGCGTTTTACATTTTAAGCTTCAGAATTTTGCCACTCGCAAAGCAGACAGCCGCGCCTCTGCTACCGCGCGCGTGTTTTCCTCATGATTCGAATATTAATTTTCACCTTCGAATTTATGTTTTTTAAAACTATTCGAATGTATATTCGAATTTAGAATATTCGTTGACAGCCCTAGATCTTTGTAACTGTAAGGGGGGGCCGGCCTACGAACTGTAGGCCGGCCTACAGACTCAGGACTGTGAGTCTTGAAGCTGACTTCTGCTGATGAAAATGCAAACTATCTTCAGTAAAACTTTTCTTTAATTTTTTATAATTCTGACTCCGGGTCTTCATTCTTCATATCTGGTTCTGGGTCTTTGACTGTATACCCCCTACAGTAATGACGCATAATAAGTGTACATGCCCAACACAAAGAATAAAGAGTCGATTTATTACTTTTCTGGACATCAAGGCATCAGTCCTGCAGCTTGAAATCCATGTGCTCCACTATGCTATTAGGTTACCAGCGTTTTAGGAAGGACTGTTTCGAAATTTCTCGGGACAGCAGCATGTGTCCAAATTTTAATCTTAACCATTCTATTTCATCAGAAACGACCTTGAAACAGGGCTTTAAGTGTAAAATACCAAACTTGTCCTTTAATGACTGCTTCCATCAATACCTTACTTCATGCAGACATACAGAGTAGACCAAGAAAAATGGAAGGAACGCCAGCAGAAAAAGAAGGGGAGATATGTAACACCACTCCGCAAGCCATTCTTTTTCAAGAAATCAAACAAGGTATACTGTAAACGTAATGCTGTCATGCCTTCTAACAGTAACAATCTTAATCTTAACATAACACTTTTAGTTCTACTGCAGCCAAGGGAATCGCAGCCAATCCGAAATGTTTTACTACTCACAGACATATAACAGCAAAACCCCTTTTTCATCTCTTAATTTTCTGTTATTTCAAACACTACACAAATCTTTACTTAATATTGTGGTACTACATTTTTAGAAAAACAATTAATGTAAGTTACAACTGAAGCATCTACAAACAACTGGAGTCTTGTAAAAAATAATAATAACAATAATGTAATTAAAAAAGAAAATTAAAAGACAAACAGAAGCACTGTTAAATGAGGCTCCTTAATAATTCAATCTGTTGCCTGAGGGTCCCATTGGAAAACACAAGTCTTCACCACAGCCTAGTTCATCCCTGGAGGGGAGCCATGAAGAAACTTTGGCTGGAAAGACTACAGTATGGGGATATCTCAAACAAACCCCAGGAACCATCCAAGACATCAATAACCACACAGCGTCAAGTAAGAAGGGTTTCTAACTGATAGTAGTAACTTTTAAAGGTCATTATTCATATGAACAGTAAAAATGAAGGATATATTTGTTTTAAAAAAAAAAACAAAAAAACAGGGACAACAAATTGAAACACATTCAATTAATTTTTAACAATGTGTCATGTTTGGTTGAAATGTATGGCATCCAGCTTATCTCCTTGTGGAAAAGAAGGGACACAAAGGTTGTGGTTCCCTTTCGTTGTCACTCCGAGTTCCGTCGGATGACGACGAATGGGGTTTCGCTTAGAAAGCCTATCGACTTCGAGTATTACAAAACGAGCCAATGGCAAAGAAATGCCATGGGTCTGCGGAATTTGCATGGCGTAACTCCGCCCCACCGCGTGGGTATAAAAGGAGAATGCCGGCAATATGCAGATATGTTTTCGCTTCGGAGCCAAGAGGTTTTCTTCACTCCTACAGCCTATTCTCTGACTATCTTCGAGAGTCTTCGAGACGAGCAGCTTCCAGTCGGTGTTGGTGGGATGGCGAGTTCCAGCGAGTTTCATATTCCTGCCTGCTGAACTGAACAGCGTGTGTGTTTCTCCCTAGGCACTTCAGCACTGCTGCAAGCTTTTCTCTCACAAAAAGAGCGTGCACGCGGCACGTCTTTCTAAAGACGATCTGCCCGTGTATTTCTGAGTGCGGTATTCTGATAGATTCAGCTGATGGCCACGAGCTCTGTTTTGGTGTGTTTGGGCTTCGATCACGTTCGGACAGCGCTCGTGGATGTGTCACCTTGTCCCAGCGGGAACGTGACCATCGCAATGTAACGGTCGAGACTCGATGAGCTCAATAGAGCGAGAGTCTCCTCATCCACACCCTGATCTATTTTTCTCCACGTGAGATAATACTTCGGCTGGTGGCCAGGGTGACCTAAGACGGCAGGTCTGGAACTAAACCGACGAAATATCCTTGGTCCACAACCCGTCTTTCACATTGCAACCCGCGTGGTCCCGAGTCTCATTCGGTCCCCCGACTGATGAAAACATGTATATCGCCGCATCACAAGGTGAGCTGGAGTCCTCTGGAGATGATGGCTCGTCTGTGCTGCCATCCTCGGGTGTGCTAGCATAACGAGTCTGATCCAGAGTTGACAGCTATGCTTTCCCGGGCTGCCGCGAGTGTCGGGCTTGTGTGGAACCATCTGCCATGTCCCGAGCACTTAACCCTTTAAGCGCCAAAGTCGCAAAATTGCGACAAGACGTCATACTTAATAAAACAGGCTGTAGATCCTAATATGGTGTAATATCTAATTTGTATTCCCTACCACTAGATGGCAGACATGTAATACTTCGATTCAAGATCAAAATGACGTCATGTTCCTATTCAAAGTGTTGGAGGAAACAGCAGAGCAAGTGAGCGATCGTGTCATTGATGCGGAAGCATTTCAGTTCAGAACGTCTGATTAAATTGTGAGATTTGTGAGAGAAAATCGTCAAATGGCTAATAAAAACTTGTACCGTGAGGATGTGTTGCAAATGTTATTCGCCGATTCTGACTCTGAAGGGGAATATTTGCCTTTTGTAAATGACGATCGGCCGTCTAATGATCGCGCTTCTCCCGGTACATCTTTGCCGAGCAATGGTGCCGCCTCTCCCGGTACATCTTTGACGCGCAATGGTGTCGCGCGCGCTTCTCTCGGTACATCTTTGCCGCGCGAGTGTTCACGAAGCACAAACAGATCATTTTGACCATTTGCCCAACGGGGATGGGGTTGGCAGGGGTGGACGTGGTCTTAGTGTACATAGGACTATAGGAGAGCTGTTGCAGCAGGGTTTCACATGTGTTTTACTACTAAAGTATTGTAATATAGTAATAATTTAGTACTTTCTCCTATTTTATTGTTGGTTTCCTCTTTTCCGATCATTTGGAATGAGGATAAAAAAAAGAAGAAAAAAAAGCATGTAAATAAATTCCAACATCAATTCAATATCTACTATTTCCTGAATATTACTGATGAACTGATCACAAAGTAGGCTACTGTTCACATGCGTTTTACTACTATATAGTATAGTACTTTCTCCTATTGTTGGTTTCCTCTTTTCTCATCATTTGGAATGAGGATTAAAAAAAAATAAAACATGCAAATAAGTTCAAACATCAGTTCAATATCTACCATTTCCTGGATATTATGAAATTCAAGAGGGCCGCCCCCTGATGATGTCATAATATGCTAATTAGATGAGTATATTTACACCCCACATAAACTTTCAGTCATCCCCAACATTTTTCTAATTTACAGTAGATCTCTATCTTTAAGCCCTTTCAAGCCACAAGCTTTTGAAATTTTGTTGTCAAAATCCAGCATTTTTTTCAAAAATAACTTGGCGCCTAAAGGCTTAAGGCTGATGATTGGCTTTTGGGGGAGGCGAACCCAAATCCTTTCTACCCGGACGTGCATGAAGAGGTCATGAGATAGTGGGAGTTTCCTTTGACTTTTCGTGACTGCTCAGCGGCCTCTTCCACCTTCTCTGCCCTCGCAGAGGCCGCGGCCAAGGGTACACTGGGGTTCCCCCCGTAGAGTGTTCTGTGGCAACACATCTGTGCCCCACAGCGCCTCCACCTGGCGTGGCGACCCTAAGCACCCCTCCAATGCCTGTAGATTTTTTGTCTACTCCGGTGGCAAGGACCTGTAGAGCTGCGGGGCAGGCTGCCACCTCACTGCATGTTATTGCCATCCTTCTGGGTGCTCAATGACATGCACGAGGGTAGGGCTGATTCAGGGCTCATCCAAGAGCTGCCTGCTGTCACCGACCTTGCTCTATGAGCGACGAAGGTGGCCGCACGCTCCCTGGGTCAGGTGATGTCCACATGCGTGGTCAGACATCTCTGGCTTAACCTGGTTGATATGCGCGAGGCTGAGCGAACCCGTTTCGAGCCATTATTCCTGGAGCCCTGAACTGTGCAGCCTACGAGCTCCCACGGCTTCAGCCCCTCCCTGGAGAATGGTGACTCCATCCACAGTCGGTTCAGCTGGTTTGGGTCCAGTTCGGGGACGCACAGATAGATCTGTTTGCCTCTCACGACTCGACCCATTACGCCCTGTATTATTCCCTGACTGAGGGCACGCTCGGCACGAATGCATTGCCGCACAGCTGGCCGTGGGGCCGCGAATATGCGTTTCCCCCAGTGAACCTTCTTGCGCAGACCCTGCGCAGGTCAGGGAGGACGAGGAGCAGGTCATTCTGGTCGCGCCATACTGGCCCACCCGGACCTGGTTCTCCGAACTTGTACTCCTCGCGACAGCACCTCCTTGGCCGATTCCCCTGAGAAAGGACCCTGAAGAACGGGGCACCCTATGGCACCCTTGTCCCGATCTTTGGAACCTCCACGTGTGGCTCCTGGACGGGACGAGGCAGGTTTGAGTACCCTACCACCAGCGGTGGTGGCTACCTTCACTTCCGCTAGAGCGTCGTCCACGAGACACACCTATGTGTTGAAGTGGAACCTCTTCGTCAACTGGTGCTCTTCTCACCGAGAAGACCCCCGGAGATGTTCGATCAGTGTCGTGCTTTCCCTTCTTCAAGAAGGGTTGGAGCGAAGGCTGTCTCCCTCCACCCTCAAAGTCTATGTTGCCGCTATTGCATCACATCATGACCCAGTGGAAGGTAAGTCTATGGGGAAGCACGTCCTGATCGTCAGGTTCCTGAGAGGAGCGTGGGGACTGAATCCTCCTTGCCCTTCTCCCATTCCCTCTTGGGACCTCTCAGTGGTTCTAACTGCCCTGCAGAGTGCTCCCTTTGAGCCTTTGCAATCAGTGGAGCTTAACCCTCTGGGGTCGGCGGTCTCGCCGGCGATACCAGCTCACTTTTTTCCTTATCAGTGCAAAAGAGACTCAAATTACTCTGTTGATTTTGATCTTACATATAAGTGATGTACATCATTCGATCCTGTTAAGTTTGTATTTTTTTTGTGGAACCTCACAATAAAAACAAAGTGTTGTGCTTTTTAGCCTAATAAATAAAAATAAACATGATGCGCGTTCTGCGTTCTCTCTGTCAGTGAAGTCCATTCTGAAACGCGTCCGAAAAATGAACTGTAACTCTGCATATACTCAGTCAAACAGGTATACAGGCACACAGGCATGAAGCCTGAATTATCTTCTTTTAAATGAAGTAATTTATATAAAAAACTAATTTTCTCATTTTATGTAATCTGTACGAAAAGAGAGAGATGATAGTCGTTCTCGTCTCAGGTCATTAAAGTTAATTTGACCACGCCCACGGAGCGCGCGCTCTATTCAAACACAAATGCTCTGAGGCGATCCACGCCCACATCAGCTGGATAACCCAGCGAAAGAGACTCAGATTTACGACGCTGTGAGGAATAATACTATCTTAATAATAATCCTGGAAAAAATTACCTCAGGTAGTTTCATTTGGAGGAGCAACGGATCCAGCTGAGGAATAGGTACATTCTTTATTTTCAAGTGCTTTGTTCTAATCGCGATATGAAATAGTGTCTGTAAACAAAAAGACTGTTTGAATATGAATCGCATTTTTGTGTGTGAATGAATGAACAGCTTTTATTTAACTATATTCCAATACTGAGATGAGTAAAAATCGACTGAAATATGTTGAAATAAAATATTTTTGTATAAGCAACGTATTAAACTGCAAATTAACATTTATATGTCCTAATCATAAAAACTATATGTTACATATGAAAGACAAGATGTCGTTTTTACTGTAAAATACTGCCACATCAAATAAGCTTGTTTGCTAAGATGTTATTATAGTGTTTATTCGAGGATTGTAGGCTATATTCAAACTAATTAATCCGCAACTGTGAAATATGTATGATAAAATGTATACAAGAAAGATTACATTTGAAATATAGTTAACATTTTAATTGTTGTTGTAATTGTAACCTTTTTAATAAAATAGCAAAAATATATGTAGGCTACATATAAATAAATCTTAGGTAAATCTTAAAAACTCAATATAAGCCTCCTCTTTAAATTATTTGTATTGTGTTTTATTAGTGACACATTTGGGATATATTCCCAAACTTTCTGTAAAAACAGTATGAGAATTAACTGCACAATTACTAGAAATGTTTACATTTGATATTATACAATTTGCAAGCACAATTTGAAAAATAAATAAATAATTGGAACTGTGAACCAATTTTGTATTATATAGGCCTATATTGTCATTGCATGCTTGTGGCTCAGTGACACACCTGAATGAAAGGCTCATTAGTATGCAGCCCCATTGTGCGCTCATTATGCGGGCCCATTGTCTTCTCAGGTGTGAATCACAGCAGGTCACACCCCTGCGCATATTGCCTTTCCAAACAAAAAGTGTCATTTTTAAATTTAAACCAATCTATTGTTTTATGTGAATGATAAGGCAGGATGATTTTCAGATCATTTTGAAGAAAAAACTCTAGGCGACAACATGCATTAGTCAAAAGTCTTGTGGACACATATTTAGTATGTGTTTTGTGGCCTTATTTCAGAAACTTTAAGTTTTAGTTTTTTCAATAACCACGCATAAACAATATTCTCTCAAAAATACAAACATGTAGATACATGTTGATAACACATTATGGTAGCCCTGTTTGTGCTAAATAGAGTGTAATTACACCTTTGCCAGTAATTTGTTTATAAGCAACTGAAAAAAGCACAAATGTCAGAGTATGTCAAAACATCTCAAGGACCCCAAAAACACCTTGGACCCCAGAGGGTTAAGTTCCTGTCAATGAAGACAGCGCTCCTGGTTGCATTGGCCTCCATCAAGAGGGTAGGGGACCTGCATGCATTCTCCGTTGACGAAGCGTGCCTGGAATTCGGGCCGGCCTACTCTCACGTGATCCTGAGACCCCGGCTTGGATATGTGCCCAAGGTTCCTACCACTCCCTTCCGGGACCAGGTGGTGAACCTGCAAGCGCTGCCCCTGGAGGAGGCAGACCCAGCCTCGGCACTGCTCTGTCCAGTACGTGCTCTCCGCGCCTATGTAGACAGAACGCAGTGTTTCAGGACCTCAGACCAGCTCTTTGTCTGTTATGGTGGGAAGCTGAAGGGAAAGGCTCTCTCCAAGCAAAGGCTGTCTCACTGGATAGTGGACGCCATTGCTTTGGCATACCAGCAGCAAGGTCGACCGTGCCCCCTTGGTGTGAAGGCCCACTCCACCCGGAGTGTGGCGTCCTCTTGGGCTCTAGCGCATGGCGCCTCGCTAACAGACATCTGCAGAGCTGCAGGCTGGGCGACACCCAACACATTCGCCAGATTCTACAATCTCCAAGTGGAGCCAGTGTCCTCTCAAGTACTCGCTTCAACCAGCTAGTGCCGGACCCGCTCAGGTGTCTTCGCTTGCTCGCCATTCCACTCCACTGACTGGATACGTGGGATATTCACACAATCTTCCATGTTTACAGTAAATCATGAAAGTTTCAAGATAATGAGATTCATTGTCACCAATTAGCATGGAGCATGAACCAATTAGACTACAATATCCATGGATGTAGCCTACTGTAATATTTTATATTTTTGCTTTGATTCCAATAAACCTGTGTTGTGATTGTACTGTAGTGTTTTGCATCAATATATTACACACTTTGTTCAATGATTCCACTATGTGTGTATTCTCTCTACGACTGCAGTGCTTTTACAGTGCTTTTACAGAGATGTGTTTACTGTACATGTAGACCATAATGAAACCTGGATCACCTATTTTGTTCTACAATATTTAATGATTGTACGAACAATGACACAGTGAAACTATCGGTTGCTTGTGTGTGGGTGATCTATAGTTATGTTTCAATGCTATTTCACAGTAAATTTGTTTTTTGAACCAATGATTGTGCAAGTGCACAATCTTTAAAGATGTGAATGCACAATGCAATGTTTTGAACATTAGACAATTTGTGTTACAAGTGATAACCGGTTTGAGTTTTGTGTCTAGAGTTTTGAAAAATGACATCAAGGTTCTGAAAATAGTAGCAAAGTGATTGTAAAAAACTGTAACAGGGGTGTGTGGACTTTTTATATCCTCTGTAGATGTAACAATATTACTGTGTGTGTGTGTGTGTGTGTGTGGTCCTATCATCACAATATCTAATATCAGATGTTTTAACCTAGTGGGGACATTTTGAGCAAAACACCTTATAAATCACTCTGTGATGTTTTTTGAAATTGTAAAAATGCATAAAGTATTTCATTATGTTTATGGAAAGTCCCTATAAAACATGGAAACCCAACATTTCAAAGTCATATCAGCTAATACACCGTCCCATTTTATGCAGTGTTTGTGGGTCCAGTAGAAGTAAATGGGGATAAAGAGAGTCTGATTATTCAGATGATACCAGTTTTATCATTCTATCATTACAAATCAAAAAATAACCCAGAAGTAAAGTTGACGTTTTTTTAAGAACAAACGTTTGTGGCAAAATTGAGATGAAAAGACATTGTTGACATTAAAAAATAAAGGTAGATTGAATGGTCAGTAAAATATATCAGTATAGCATTGCATGTTTTCAACATTAGCTATAACATACTCATTAGATGATGTAATATTGAATGCACACTAGGGAGTGTTTTGTACATAGAAGGCGTTGTTGATGGCTGCTTCCGAAGTGTCAGTAAATCATTTTGCTTAATCTCAGCCGAAGCACTCCTACTGCTCTTATTTCCTCACTGCCAGTGCTTCTACATCTACATCCCAGAACAAATACCAAACTGCTGACAGAGTTCTCTGATGTGTAAAAACTACACAGTACATCTGTCAAACTATTCCATTTATGTCCCTGTCTAAACTTGAAGCCCTCTTCTTATTTCCCAAGCTTCATCCCCTACCTTCCAGCAGGCATTCGCACAGCCTTTCTTTCTCTCTCTGCTGATGCAGTGATGTGGTATTTGGAGAATTCTGGTCTCTGACCAAACTAAAGACTCTTGGCTTGGATCCTGTCCTTACCCAGGCCTCTTCCCAAATAAGGCTTTGCTTTAACAAAGGGCCGAACTATAAACCGTAAGTGCTGAGTGGAGACGAGGGTGGGCTTGAGAAAAAGACTATGTCCTTTTAAGGTGTCAATTTCCTTTTCTCTGCCCCCTCACCGAATGCCTTGTTTTTGTATTTCTCTAATGGTAAAGACATTTACTCCTGAAACAGCAACAGGAACGACTCTGCTGAACTCTTGAATCTAGACACTCTCACACTAAATCCATTGCTCCAGGTTGACTGGTGACTCCACGAAGGACAAGGTCATCTTCATATTTACTAGAGTAAGTATGTTTTTCATATGCTATCAAAGACCTTTCAGTCAGTTATTTTGCTGATCATTGTGCCTTGTGAATGACATGAAGTAAACCAATACATCTCATGCACAATCTACGTACTACAGTTAAAAAAGGATAAAATGTTCAGACCTGATAAACTAGCTTATAACTACGTTCATTTTAGTGTTTCAGTATTATTTGAACTTTTGATATGTTGCATGAGCTTCTTTGTTATGACCTTTTAAAGTGTGAATTGACCTGAATTTTAAAGTTTGTAATGATTATCAACCACATACAGTATCTTTCTTCACTAACAGCTAATGCAGACCTATTTATATACATATCCTATGATCTTTTATCCAGACCAATACTAGGCCACTCAGACTGGGGGGAGAAAAGAAGGCATACAATTAAGCTTACCTTAATTATAATTATTACAAAAAAATGCAATGCAGTGCCTCCCAAAAGTAAATGGACACTTCCGTGACACTTAAAAAAGTGTTAATGTCATTGCATTAGAAAATATTGAAGCAAGTGATACTCAGAACTACACTTTTCTGACCCATTTTTTAAATGACTTGTTATCTAGAAAGTCATTTGGTTACACTTTATTTCAATGTCCCACTTTATACATTCTATAACTTTGCAACTACATGTCAACTAACTCTCATTAGAGTATCTGTTAGGTTAGGGTTCGGGTTGGTAGAATATATTGACATGTAGTTGCAAAGTTACTTAAAGTCAATAGATTGTCTGTTGGAGGAGCATCACAATAAAGTGTTAGCAGATATTAATCAGACATAGTTGCAAAGTTACTTATAGTGAGTCATATTTCATTAAAATAAAAACCATTAAGAAAGTACACATTTTTACTGTAATGCTCATAGGGTGAATGTCTTAAAACTCATTATTTAAGGTTGGAACTTCAGAGGCGGTGTCCTAAACTGCAGAATGGCAGCACAGGTGACTGCTGCTCTGTGTGTGTGTGTGTGTGTGTGTGTGTGTGTGTGTGTGTGTGTGTGTGTGTGTGCTTTGCTGAGAAATGTCAGAATATAATTGATGGTGTTTCTAAACAAACGCTCTGGAGGAACATGTTCATCTAATCCTGGCATAAACATTATGGCTGCTTATCTGACTCCAGTGATAATTCTTCCAAGAGCCCCATTCACTCAAGGACTACGTGAACATGTGAACCTGTGCCTTTATGGTTGCTTTTTGTATAACAGTTTAGCTCAAGAAATCCATTTGACACAACATAAAAATTGAGCTGAACTGTTCGCCGTTGGAAACCTGTTGGACTGTTTACGCTGCACAACATCTATAGGCTACGCATGATTTGAAAGTTCATTTTATGGCTTTGTGGCTGCTTTTACCTGCATCATTTTCTTTTTCCACTTTATGCTGATGATGTTTTAGCTGGAATTAATTTTTAAATTGAAATGTAATAAACGTTTTAGGAGAAGAGGATTTTCTGGGGAGGTAAATGACACAAACTTTACAAACTTGTTCCTGTTTTATATTTTGTCCATAAAACAAACTCAGACGCTATTGAACAAACAAACTATTGAACATGACTAATAACATTTGATAAAGGACATTTTCAGACAAACTACAACACTACACTGGAGCAAAAATCAATACAAAAATTATAATAAAAGTGACATGGAATAGCATATATTAAATGCTGCTTGATTTGGTAGTTACTCTAAAGATTAGTACACACGGAACATACGTCAGGTCCTACACTATTGACAGTCTCCTCTTCTCATCAAAGCAGGGAGCTTCAACTATGGCAAACAAGGGTCCATCTTATGGGATGAGCCGCCAAGTGCAGGATAAAATTGAGCAGAAGTATGACACTGAACTGGAGGCGCGTTTGGTGGAGTGGATTATGGCCCAGTGTGGGCCTGCGGTGGGAAAGCCAGAGGCAGGAAAACTGGGCTTCCAGACCTGGCTCAAAGATGGATGTGTAAGTAAGGCATGCCTGTTATTATCAGGTAATTTTGGCAATCATAAAAAAGCAAAAGTTTGTACACATTTTTAAGAAAGGGCTGCCAATACAAAAAGTCGATTCGTCTCCATCACATTTTTCGGTCAAGGTTTTCATGGGCCAATGTGAATAAATGTATATTAAATGCATTAGCAGACATTTTATTCATTATGTGAACATAAAGGCTAAACATTCTCATGATGTATGTTTCATTCATACTGAAAGCTTGAGGGCACCCTTCACACAGAAAGTTAGATATGGACTCATAGAAGTAATAACTTATTATGTCAGGAAACCCCTTATATGGACAAATGCATTCAGCTATCGCTGCAGCTGAATAAACTGGAAAAAGATTTTCACTAATAAAACGTGAAGACTATAAACACACGATTGCAACAATATAGTATATGGTTTATGTGTGTTTTCCAAGCCATCTCATGGATTTTCATATCAATAAAGGATATGAATAATGCAGTGCTAAATAGCCTATTTTTTGCCTTTTTCTGTGATAAAAAAAATAGTTTGACATAAAACCATAAATATATGACGACTGAAAGGGATAGTTCACTTTGAAATTAATTTTTGATATGTTTTAGCTTACCTCAAGGGCATCCAAGATGTAGGTGTCTTTGTTTCCGCAGTAGTTTCAATTTTGATATTTTTAGGTCAAACTGTTCTTGTCTGTCAGTCATATAATGCAGGTCTATGGGGTCCACCTCAAAGAGCATGCACAGAGAAGTCCAAATTAAACATGATTTAATGACTCGTAAATGTAAGTACACATTGAGAAAACGAACAGTATTTATATCGTTTTTACCTCTTGTAACGCAGACCGAACCGCCGGCGCCCTCTGATCACTTGGACGTGGCTGTGGTTACAAGAGGTAAAAACGATATAAATACTGTTCGTTTTCTCACACAAACCGCTCGTTTCGTGTCTTAGGCCATCAATGTGTACTAACATTTAAGAGTCATTAAATCATGTTTAATTTGGACTTCTCTGTGCTGCTCTTTGAGGAAGTGACCATAGACCTGCATTATATGACTGACAGACAAGAACGGTTTGACCTAAAAATATCAAAATTGAAACTACTGCGGAAACAAAGACACCTACATCTTGGATGCCCTTAAGGTAAGCTAAAACATATCAAAAATTAATTTCAAAGTGAACTATCCCTTTAATGCACAAGTGTTTGTAGTCATCAGGAAAATATGGGAAAAATATTAGTGAATACAAATTATTGGTTTTGTTCAGCAGTGTATTTGATTTCTTAGCCAAAAATGAAAATAAAATCTAATTTCTAATAACAAAGATCAGAAAAAAAAAATGGTATTATCCTTGACATTTCTGTCTGCCTCACTTCTGAAATGATGGCTACGCCCCTGCTGCCAAACATTTTCATGTGAATGGTGTCAAGGTCCGTGTACCTTCAGATAATTTGTTTTCTTGTTTTTGACTACTAAACGGAAAAACAAAGAAACCGTTCATTTATCACATATTCAACCATTTTCATGAACATAAATAAACAAATCTTGCGTAAATTTAGAGAGTCAGTATGTTGAAACCACCAGTCCACTGAGTTTCAAGTAGATGATGTTTTCAAGTGAAGGCCTGTGGTAAGGCCCCCTTGATAATTTCCCTGTGGTGAGTGACGTTGGCAAGTTGTTATGCTGAAGCCACCGCTCCACTGAGCTCCCGGAGGTCAGTTCCCCTGTATTGAGTGAGCTGGCCTCCTCTCGCTTAGAGAGTCATTATGTTGAAGCCACCGCTCCACTGAGCTTCAGGAAGGTCATGAATACGTGTGTGATCGGCCCTCAATTTTTTGGCTGCCCCGATATCCGGCCTAGGCTTAGTACTTTAGGAATGCGTCTCTTAGAAAGAGGCATTTTTTGCTGTAGCATCTCTGCCTCCTAGCTTGCCGTAGCTCAGAGTAGGCTACTCCTAAAGGAGAGCATCTCCAGCCCAAGACTGGCAGCTAGTGATCCTGGTATGCCTCCTCTCACAGTGAAAGTCGCCCGGCCGGGGACCGCCTTCTGCATTAGGCTAATAATGCGAGTAGCAGACCCTGTGGCCTCCTCTAACTGCCTAGTGTGAGCTGACTCCTCTTGCGAAATGCTGAGCTTCAGTTCCCTAGCGGTGTTTGCCACAGACAAATAGCCAGGTATTGCAGGCTATTTCTTCGGAAAGCCTCCCCTGTGGTTGTTACCTGGGCGTTGTCAGGCTTCCTCTCGCTTAGAGAGTGACAAGCACTATGTTTAAGGCGCTGCTCTCTAGAGCTTTGATAGTAGCATAATCTAGCCTGTGGTCTTTAAAATAGACTCTTCTGTTAAAGCTCCTTGATTTTGACCATCAAGTCGTGGGGTTGAGTGGTTAGGCCTCTTCCATGGAATTTCTTCCTGCTGATGCCTCTACTCCTCCAGAGCTAAGCTCAGACAGCAACCTGTCTTGGAGCTAGAGTCAAATAATTTTTAGGTCTCCACCCTTGAGTTTTTATCTCGGGTCAAGCTGATATCTGAACACTTCGCTTCCAGAGCCCTGAAGCCTCCTATCCAGGATGGCGTTGAGTACGCTCCCTTAGAGCTCAAACACTTGCCCAGAGCACATGCCGTGTTATTCTAGAGTGGTTTAAGGGGCCTCCTCGACATTCTGGTTGCATGACATCTATTCTCCCCTTTCTTAAAGGGTAAAAGGCGCTAAGCTGAGTACATCGCTTGTGTTGGCAATGTGAATGAGTATCCCAAGTCCAGCAGACATCTGGTGGCCATCTCTGCTAGAAATTGATTTGCTACCAAGTAATTGGCCCTTTACTGGCCACCTTGAAAGCAATCCTTCGGGTTGAGCTAGGCTCTTAGCATGCAAGCTCCTGACTCCCTAGTATGGCGCAGATTGGTATCAGGTTGCAGGCCTCACAGGAGCCTACCTGACACTAGCCCTAGAGTTCTAGACTCGTTACCAAGTAGTTGACCCTCAAGCAGGCCACCTTGAAGGCGATCCTCTGGGTTGAGCTAGGTTTTTAGCACTTTCAGCTAAATCAGTGTTGTAGCTCCCTTGTTACATCTTACAGGCTCTGGAGCCTCCCTGTTATTCCTTAGAGCTTGGTCCTTGTTCGAGAGGGTCGTCCCTTTGAAGAGCTGGAGGTACTTCTCTCATTAGGGACCCTATGTACAGTACCCAGCCTCCACAGTGGTTTGAAAAGGATAGCACTCTATAGGTCCAGGGTCGAGCAGTGTAACTCTGTAAGGGTTTGAAAAGCACTATGGACCAGATGTACGTACATTTGCGAACGCAGCGTTAATAGCGCCATGGCCAAGACGCAGAAAGCGCTTGATGTGAAACCGCAGTGTGCGTGTTATGTACCAAACCTGCAGTTCATCAGGTAATCAGCGCCTGTCCCCACCCACTATACCGTAAATTGCGTGTATTTAAACGCGCAATTGAATGGGCCTCTCACTACTGATGTAATGTAGCGAGGAGTTTTACAACTGCTGGAATGGAATGGAAAGTGAACGCTGAGTCGGAGATTCGATGTCATCTTTGATTTCTTCCAGTAACAGTAATATTGCGTAGCTGCTTAATCTGTAATGCTTAATGATTTCGTTTTCACTCAATTGAAAAAGTGTGATTCTTGTGGCAAAAATCTTTTCAGCTCGTCTCCTAAGCCTATGTCTTCGTCTTGCTCGGATTACTGCTACCATTTCACCAGGAGGCATATGCCAGGAAACCCGCTTCCTAAGTTACACCTGCTTTTAAGGCGAGACACTACAGGTGAATAGGGTAATTTTTTTAACTAGCAGATATCACCATGAAACTTTCCCAGTTGATTACCTACATTAAGGTGAGAAAAAATGTATTACAAGTTTTCTGTAATTTAATGTTTAAATATGCAAATTAGACATTATCTAATAAAATATGCACTAATTTGCATATATTTAAAAAAATGAAATCTGAGTATTGGATAAAGCCAGGTTCAAAATTCTTTTTTTCATTGTGTTCACATATTAGATGGGAAAAAAATTACAGAGGGATTTATGGATATCTACTTTTGTTATCCTATAAATCAGAATATACTGTCAATAGCCTTAAAAAATTATTTTTGCCATGTTTTTTGGAATAAAATGTTATATAAATCGGGCTAGGAATAATATATTTACAAATCCCTCTGTAAATGTCTTCGTAATATAACTAGGTACAAGACTGGAAAGTTTGGTGTATACAGGTGCTACCGAAGTGGAGATTTCGGACTTTGAGTATGAGAGAAAAGTCATTTTGAGAAAACGGGCTTTAAAGATTTAGCATCAGCCAATGAGATTGCGCATTTGCGCCCTTTTACTTTCACGATTGGTTGCTGATAAAAAGGAAATGACCATATTTGGATCCGACAACATTGTACAAGAGAGAGAGAGCTTTCTAACGGTGTGTGTGATGACAGGGTGCAGATCGTGATCGCGGAGCAACGGATGATTTACAATGCCAACTTTTGATGAATTTATGAGAAATCTACAGACGCAAACAGACAAAGTGTAGTAAAATAAAGACCTAAATGTGTATTTCGGACTTTTTTTCACCACAAGTCTGAAAGAAGACATGTTTTTGAAGACAAATATCCCGAAATCTCAAAATTGACCAGTGAAAAAAAAACTATGTTTTTGCCTGCCGTGTCTCGCCTTAAGAGGCGGAAAATTTTCAGCACAAAATAAAGGGCACGCTTTCACCGGCTTTTTCTGTACATAACGCGGAATACATAATTAGGCGCAGTTTACGCTTCCCCTCCCATCTCTTTATGTGACACTCCCACTTTCCCCTTGACCATCCCATGAATGCATATGCATGACACGAAAAGTGCATTTTGCCATTTTCAGTTCCCGCGACAGGCAGTCTGCACTTTCATCTCAGTGCGTCCCGTTCGTACATACCTCGCCATGGTTTTATGCGCACTTTGGGAAACAAATACGAGTCCTACTTCCCAGGATGCCTGTCTCTTTATTCAGTGTGAGCTGGTTACTGCCTTTTTGTCGCTGGCCAATACGATTGCTTTGATTTGACAGTTGCTTCAGATACCAGTAACGCTGAGGCGTTCCCCATAAGCGTAACAAGGGTTACAGTCGTAACCTGAGACGTTCCTTGAGAAGTGGATCTCAACACTGCATCTTGGATCGAAGCTATGGGGAACTCCATCAGTGTGACCGGTGTCTGAAGCACATGTATACACACGACAATTTCATTGGCTGGTGACAGCCTGTGATGTCATAAGCGGAGCGCCCGGAACTATAAGAGGGCACCCGTAGAACAAGTCATCAACTTCTTTGTCTGAAGGAGACGGAGACATAGGTTTAGCAATGTATCATTCCCCTTTCAGAGAACCATGGTTACAATGGTAACCATTTCGAATTAGAACTTAACACTGCCTCTTGGATCAACGCTATGGGGAACAAATACCCCCTCCGCCATGCCGTAGGGATACCTGCATCACTAGGTGTGAGTATGCACAAAGAGAGTGGGCATAGCATAGCTTGACTCTTAGCCAGAGTCAGAGCGTCAAACCCAGGATGCGTCCTAAAAAGACGTACACAAGAGACCCTGGAATTCCACTACTCTGGTTTTTTTTTTTTTTTTTTACAGAAAAGGCTGTAATATAAGAATGACAATCACTTAATCGCACAGATTCTTGTAATAAACTAATCCCCAGGCAGCTGCAGTGGACCTGCAGCTCTGTTCAGTTACCCTAAGCAAATAATGGAAGTGCTCACACCCTTCCTGTCATTCTTCCCAGAATCCAGGTAGATTTGCTCGCACTACTTTATTTAAAGATCAAGTGTAAGGATAACTGAGGCTTTAAGAAGGGGGCATGGATCCCTGCTTTAAAACTCAAAATGGTCTGGAAGTAAACGCCTCCCTCAGTCCTAAGGCTCAAAAGGGCAGCTTGCCAAACCTTAAAGTCTGCTGAAGTCTGGGGGAGGCAGCTCAAACCCTGTTTTTTCTTCTTTCTTTTTTTTAAAGGGAGTAGGCTTGCTCTGTTACCGGTGTTAAGCCACACACCGAATGCATCACTTGCCCACCCTGGCACCGCCCCGTCATTTTGATTGTTTATTGTAATAAAAATAATTTAATTTAGTTAGAAGACAGATAACATTCATAAGTGATTTAAAAGCGAGGTGGAAAAGAGGGAAAACTCCGTCACCAGTTTCTCGAATGCATCATAATGAGCACATCCAGCTTCCTCAAGGAGTCGAACGCGTTCCACCGGTAGCGTTTGTCTTACACTCGCATACAAACAAGCATCTCCTTAAGACAAAAAGGTTGATGACGTGTCCTACGGGTGCCCTCTTATACTTCCAGGCAGGGCCGTTTGAAGGAATTTGGGGGCCCCAAGCAAAATGGACATGGAGGCCCCCCCCCCCCACACACACACACACTTACACACACTTTATATGAATAAAAAAGTTTACAGTGCAAATACTGCTGTTGCATACTGTGCATAAAAAAATAAAAAATTACAGTGACATAAGCTATGAAAAAATCATGTTCCTCTGCCTTTTTCAGGTTAAATAATGTTTATAGATGGGTAAGATTACAAATTATTTATTAAGTAAAAAGACTGTTTGCTAACAGTTAAATGGCAATTAACTAAATATTAAATAACTAACAATTTACCATCTATTAATGATTGTTATTATAAAGAGTTACAGAAAACTTAAAGATATGTTAGCATTTCCATATTTTGATATTAGAAGGGAAGGGATGCTGCTTTCACTACCAATGCTTAAAAACATCCCAAGCTAATGTTTGATGCATGGAATTTATTGTGTGGTTTTCCTAACCCCCATTGGTAAATAGATTATCACGGTGGAATAGTTATGCTATGCCACTTTCATCAAAACCTATTAGCTATAGCAATGTCATGTCATTAAATACGATAAACAGTGATTCTGGAACTCCTTAACCCTTTGATGCGCAAGCTATGGATACCCCCTCTAATGCACAACATGGGTCTAAAAAGACCCGTATTCATTTCCTATGTTATTTCATGCATGGCTCGGCATTTTTTTGTTTCACCTTTTGAAATCACTTTATTTGAGCATTTTCTATTTCATGATCTATAAATTTCATGATTTATGAATATTCAAAATATCTTGTTTTCAATTATCACAAATTCATATTTTAATATTTCCTAGGTTTTGTGTAAATACATCAAGTTTACACACATGGGTCTAAAATGACCCATCTATGCAAACGTGATAAAACAAAAGAATAAAGAAAACTTTTTGTTAAAATAACCATTGTCACAGTTGTTTAGATCAACACATTTACTGTAACACTTAAAATATGTTTATTGGCCACTTTGTCACGCATAACACACATATAACCGATAACACTGAAATTGAACTGTAGTGTAGTGCAACTGTAGGGGGGATCTCCCCGCCACCAATGTGCAGCATCCACCCGGATGATGCGACAGCACCCATAGTGCACCAGAACGCCACCACACGACGGCTTATGTGACCGATAGCATTGATTTATGACCACAAATAAAAATTAATATGGAGGTACTGCCCAGGTAAGGTTTCTGCCAGACAGCACCAATATAATACTTGTATATATAACTTTCTATCGCAACTTTTATTTTGTTGACCTAGCTAACATTAGATAAAATAAAATATGTCGACCGCAAGCTAGCTAATAGTATTGGACATGTTTCTCTTTTGCACTAGTAATGGATTTCAAGGTCAAGGTAACCTTAGCCTAAACGTTCAAATTTTAGGCTATATCTAGATGTCTTTCACAAAATATCAAATATTTTCTGTGACAAAAAATGTATTAAATAAAACTTACATGCATGAAATATACAAAAGCAGCCGTGTTGAATTTTGAAATGTGTGGCAGGTGAATAGTTTTCTGCAGTAAATATATTTATACTATTTATAAATATCAAAGGTTCCTATATGGGTCATTTTTGACCCATGTGTGTAAAATTGATGTAGAAATACAAAAACCGTGTTTGTTTATAAAGTAAGAAAGGGAAAATAAAAATAATGATTTGTGGAAATCAAAAACAAGATATTTAATGAATACCTGGATTAATAAATGATAAAATATATTTATTTCAAATATTCAGCAAAGAAACATGAATACGGGTCTTTTTAGACCCATGTTGCGCATTAGAAGGGTAGTGAAACAAAAACGATTTTTATTCGAAAAGTAAGAAAGGAAAAATTTAAATAAGGATTTGTAATGATCTAAAACAAGTTAATTGAGGAATACCTGGAATACTGAATGATGAAATTAATTTCTTGCAAAGATATAGAAAATGAAAACTCAGTCGGGTCTATTTAGACCCATGTTGTGCATCAAAGGGTTAAACCGTTAAAAAACATATTACAGTATGTAACGTTAACCATATTCCGTCCGTTCGGAAAAATTTTTGCACTAACTGTTCGTTACAAGCAGCATTTGCCGTCAGGCAGGTAGCTAACATAAACATATTTTTGCTAGCCTAATGTTAACTTACCTGCTGCAAAATTACACCATTTGTACAAGACAAGCTATTTTTATGCAGTGTAATTTATTACTTTACCACTATCTGGTATTTTTCTTAACCTTCTCTTCCTTTCTCTTCTTTCTTTTCTGGCTTCCTGAAGCATAATTCCGCTTCATGATAACTCCCGAGGAGGTTTGTATTTTGCCGGCAGCAGAGATCGCGTGGTTGGCTGGCTGTCGTCAGCGACTACTGAGAGGGGCCCCCTTGAGGGGGATTCCGATAACAGTGTCATTGCACTTTACTGCATTGACTATCAAAGGGGCGCTCACAGTTTGTCGTTGCATTTTATTCTTAAACAGTCGTTGTCTTGGGGCCCCAGTCCAGCTTGGGGCCCCAAGCAATTGCTTGGTTTGCCTGTCCTGTTCCGACGGGCCTGCTTCCAGGCGCTCTGCTTATGACATCACGGGCTGTCGCCAGCCAATGAAATTATCGTGTGTTTACACTCGCTTCAGACACTGGTCACACTGATGTGTTCCCCATAGTGTCGATCCTAGACACAGTGTTGAGTTCCTCTTCGAAAGGGAACAACCTATAGGCTATTCAGAAGGTCAAATGAACAGGGATTGAAAAAGAGACACCAAAGTTTACACAAGGAATGATAGGACACACCAAAATCGAATTCATGTTGAGTGATAGATAATCAAACCACATTGAGTGGCCAGGTTACTCTTCCAGATAACTAGTGTTGTTATAATGTCATTTATAATTATGATCACATTTATGGAAAATTTAGAGTTTTATGTAGAGTGTAATCTTGTTTCCTTTGCCCGTTCTCAGATTTTGTGTGAGCTCATCAATAGTCTGTGTAAGGAAAAGCCCGTAAAGAAGATCCAGAGCTCCAGTATGGCTTTCAAACAGATGGAGCAGGTGTCACAGTTCCTTAATGCTGCAGAGCGATATGGCGTCGTCAAAACCGACATGTTTCAGACGGTAGATCTGTGGGAGGGTGAGTACACCAACATATCAGACCTTTCTCCAACAAATATATATATTCTTCTTAGACATTCAGATCCCATATCAAGATTAAATAAGGTTGTTAAATAAATATGGTTGAATGATTATTAATGTATCACATGCCATATATGCAGAAAGCATGTCTGATTAATTAATAGGATATTAAATGCAGTCATATTATCTGATTAGTGTGTGCAATAATACAAAATCAATTTCAAAATAAAATATGAAATTGAATGTAAAAATACATTTCCTACATATCTGAGTGTCAGAAGTATTTTTGATCAATCAGAAGTTTTTCATATTGTCTTATGTTTAGTATGACCTTGTAAAGATCAACATTTCAACTCTGCTATGCATGAGGGGGGAAATAAATCAGTGATCCTTTTTGTTGCACCATATTTCTTAGTACAACGTTACTGACTAAATAATGTGTTGAAAATATATTTTCTATTTATTAACCCTCTGGGGTCCAAGGTGTTTTCAGGGTCCTTGAGATGTTTTGGCATGCTCTGACATTTCTGCTTTTTTCAGTTGCTTATAAACATATTAATGGCACAGGTGAAATTACACTCTATATAGCACACACAGGGCTACCATAATATGTGAACAACATATTAATACATGTTTGTATTTTTGAGAGAATATTGTTTATGCGTGGTTATTGAAAAAACTAAAAAATAAAGTTTCTAATATAAGGCCACAAATAACATACTAAATATCTGTCCACAAGACTTTTGACTAGTGGATGTTGTCGCCTAGAGTTTTTGCTTCGAATTGATCTGAAAATCATTCTGCCTAATCATTCTCATAAAACAATAGATTGTTTTAAATTGTGAAAAACATTTTTTTGTTTGCAAAGGCAATATGTGGATGGGCGGAACGGCCCAACCCCCTCATGAATAATTAGGCAGTTCTCACCTGAGCAGACTGCATACTAATGAGCCTTTCATTCAGGGGTGTCACACAAGAAAGAATGCAAGGACAATATATATATATATAAATAAATAAATATTTATACACACACACACACACACACATATATATATATATATATATATATATACACACACTACCGTTCAAAAGTTTGGGGTCAGTGAGAATTTTATTTTTATTTTTTGGAGGAAAGAAATCAATACTTTTATTTATCAAGGAATAATTCATTTGATCGAAAGTGACAGTAAAGACATTTATAATGTTACAAAAGATTCTAACCCTAACCCTATTAATCAAAGAATCCAAAAAAAAAAAAAAAACTGTACAACTGACAGACCAACAACTGTTTCAACATTGATAATAATAATAAATGTTTCTTGAGCATCAAATCCTCATATTATACTGATTTGTGAAGGATCATTTGACACTGAAGACACTGACACTGGTGATGCTGAAAATTCAGCTTTGATCACAGGAATAAATTACACTTTACTATATATTCACACAGAAAACAGCTGATTTACACTGGAGATAATATTTAATACTATAACTGATTTTTGTTGTATTTTTAATCAAATAAGCGCAGCCATGGTTAGCAGAAGAGAATTCTTTTAAAAGTATTTAAAATCGTACCGACCCCAAACTTTTGAACGGTAGTGTATATATATATACAAACAATCAAAATATAAATGAAAGCCAAAAGCACATTTTTAGTCCAACCTTTTAGCCATCCACATCACATTTTTAGCCAACCACCGCGGTCAAAATAAACCAGTCGCATTTCAAAGTCGTTCGCGAAACGACCGCTAGGTGGCGCAAAGGGACATTTAGCAAAACGTAAGTGGGGCTAATGTCTGTAGCCTAAGGATGAAATACTACAAGTTATGGTAATTTCCAAATAAGCCTACAACAAACATTTATAGCCTACTCCGTAATTGTTGGTCATACAGATAAGATATAATCTTTTAAAACTGTAAAAGGCTAAAGTATAGGCCTACACTCACAGGCTAAATGAAAAAATCGCTCATGTGAGAAACAGAGGTTTGGGTATTTCTCAGTGAGAAAATTCATAGCCAAACGGTAGAACTTAGGGTTCATCATCAAGATGACACGGGTTCAAATCCCGCACAAACAAGGTCTGCTGTATTTTTTATATTTATTTAGATTTGTCTAGCTCTAAAACTCTGTTACACCATACAGTTTTTTTTGCTTATATTTATAAAATACAATTATCATGCATTTCCATTTTACACTAAGGAACAAAATAGTATCCAACAGAATGACTTTGCATCTGTATAATAATAGGCTACCAATCGTAATTTCAAAAGCAGTTCTGTAAAAAAAATTATTATATATAGCCTATATATATATATATATATAAAAAAAATTTCAGGGCTGCCAACTCTCACGCATTGAGCGTGAGAGTAGGCTTCTCACGCAATTGACCCAAATCTCACGCTCTCACGCCACACCCCCGATTTCTCACGCTGAAGTGTCAACCCGGTCGGTCAAATTCCTAAAAGATATAGTTTATCTATAGATCTACCTGTTAAGCCACTCGTGATCGACTAGTTATACCGCAAATTAGTTAAAATATCCCGTAATCTATCTAGAGCGAGCGTGCATGCGAGACAGATATTGTGCTCCAAACCATGCGCGTGCATGGCAGAGAGGTCTGTTCCCTACAACCTAGAGTTTTTTAAAAACATGGTTTTAAGTAAAGTGTGATTTGCCAAGGGGGACTAGGATTTCCTTCTGGTCTAAACATCCCTGCTTCTGCTGAATTATTTTAATCCCCCCCGTAATTTTTTGGTCATACAGATAAGAGTAGAGTAGGCTTACATCGTTCAAAACTGTAAACTTGTATTCATATAGGCTAACGACAAAAACAACAGTATATCTGTCGTCTCTGTCTCCGGGAACTGCGCGTCACAAAAAATGAACCGAAAGCCACTTCAGCTCAGTCACGATAAGAAATCGGCTATGTCTAAAGCCTTTAAATGTCTAAATATTTAGGCTAATAAATGTTATCTGATTATGTAGGCTAATCCATATGAAAACGAGAGGTACAGAGGATCTACTCAAACATGCAATGTAAGCGCTTCCCAATGAGAAAATGACAAGACAAGGGTGAAAATCTCGCTCTATGTAGGCTAAATCGCCCTGAATTAAAATGTAAAAACATATCAAATAATGTATTTGTCGAAATGTTGCGATATTGTTTCATTTAAGTTCATAATTATTCTATAAATGTTATTTAATTTAGCAGCATTACCACGAAGCACCGTGTTTCGATATTTATTTGAATAATACAAAATAAAATAAAAACTTAATTCACAAATTGCATGCCTTGTAAGGATCCAAAGATCCATGTAGAATTTAATATTGAGTTGAACATTTTGTTCATTTTGTTTGTTCTGTAACAAATTAACATGCGTTTTTTCAGATTATATTTAGTTTTGCTTGGAAAAAGCTGGCCCAAACCAGTTTTATTTCATCAATTATTGAAATAATGAAATATATAGTAATAAACTTTTATGACAGAAATATCACTAGGCTACATGTAACTTAAATCATTTAATTCCTTCATTATCAACACTGTCTAGAATAGCGATTTAAGTGTGAATTGCGACTTCTCTTTGTGTTAAGTCAGCCTCAGACTCCGATAGCCTGTGGGGGGTTGGAGGGACAGTTGCTGGACAAAGGTGTTAATGTTCCTCTTTCATATGGAGAGTGTCGGATAGCCAGCCTGATGAGCAGGCAAAATTATTGTAAGGATAAATCTGTGTCCAAATGTAGACCCCATATCTTATTAAATTATAAATATTGTAGTTTATTTATTGTAGCCTATTTAAAGTTTTTTCACACACAATTTCAATTGAAGTTATTGTAAGGTGAATTCAACAAGGCATGCTGTGTCTTTGAAGCAACAATTAAAGGTTAAATAATTTTTTCGTGATTTGTATGGCTGACACGCAGCGACATATACAGTATTATCAGCTGTATGATGTGTTTTTACCCTGAAATGTTTAATTTCGAGAGAGAGACCTGGCGCGCGCAGCGAGGGAGACTAAATAAACTTGTTAAAAAGAGATCCAGCGCGAGAGAGGCAAAGAGAAACGCATGTTTTTAATTTAATTATGTTTCTTTGGACAATTTTCGTTTTGTACTGTTTTAATTGTTTAATTTAGCTGTAATTTCTTTGGCAATACAAATTTAAAATGTCGCAAGAATAAGATTAGCCTAGTGTTTCTTATTTTGCATCGCAAAAGAAATAAACTCTAAACCCGATGCAACCCTGTTTTAAATTAAAAAATGTAAACCTTGAAATGTTCGAACTTGGTTTCAAACTTAAGTCATTTTAGTGTTCTTTTACATTACACAATAATTTAGCAGACTAAAGACGAGCTTCTTCATTTTCATTTTCTGATGCAATCGGCTGACAATCTTCCTTCATCAGTTTTTGTCGTTTGAGCAGCGGCTGCGGTTCTACAGGAATGTAGCAAATTTATGTTGTAATGATAATTAAACAAAACTCTTGACTTTAAATAAGTAAACAGATATAAACAGTTACCTATTTAAGCATCAAGGTGGTAAAATATAAACGCTGTAGGACAACATCGGTTAACAACATGTATGCTACATTGAGATTCGATCTCGGGTCGATTGAAGCTCCTCGAAGCTCGTGTTGTTGCGTTAACCACTGAGCTATCGTCTGTACGCTGATAAAGTTGTAAAGCCTCATTGATGTAGCCTAAATGTTTTTATTGCAATGTTTTATGTTGAAATGTTTTCATTATTTATTCAATTACATTTCAGTAGCCTAATTTCAGTATTGTGATTATGAATTATTTTAACTACATTTCACTTGTTGAATTCTTCTGCTACCAGCTTTCAATCGCTCTGAATCAGCGCGGTGCAGCAGCAGATTACGCATTAGAGAGAATAAACCGGAATAAACGAACACTTTTCAGAGTCTATGATTGTAGCGCCTCTTAGCGGTAAAAGGCAGCAAATACACCACACATTTTACCGCCGCGGTGGAACGGCTGATGTGGGCATTGTCATGGCTTGCCTCGACATTTGCGTTTGAATAGCGCGCGTCCTCCGTGGGCGTGTCAGATTAACGCGTAATGAAGTGTAATGAGCTGGGGAAAAAAAATACTGACAGCACTCTCTTTTCATACAGATTGCATAAACTGAGAATATTTGTTTTTTATATAAATTACTTCATTTAAAAGAAGACAATTTAAGCTTCATAAAGAAAAACCTCTCGTGCCTGTGTGACAAGTAATCGCAGAGTTACAGTTAATCTTAGGACGCGTTTCAGAATGGACTTCACTGACAGAGAGAACGCAGAACTCGCATCATGTTTGTTTTTCTTTATTTGGTGAAAAGCACAACACTTTGTTTTTATTGTGAGTATCCACAAAAAAAATAGAAACTTAACAGGATCTAATGATGTACAACACTTATATGTAAGATCAAAATCAACCGAGTATTTTGAGTCTCTTTTGCACTGATAAGAAAAAAAGCGAGACAATCGCGCCGGCGCGATAGCCGACCCCAGGGGGTTAAACTATTTACCTTCAAGTAATATTAACACATCCATTGATCACCATTGTCTTTGTAATAAGTGTAATGAAAGTGTTTGGAGGACATTTTTCAAAGTGGATTGTAATACATTTTTCCTAGAAAAGACAAAATAACTCTTGAGCTTCAGGAATGCAACAGGTGTTCTGATTCTTTCCTGAGATACAACACAGGAGAATGTACAATTATCTCTCATGCTACAGTAACAATTGCATTTAACAGGTGTTTTTAATTATTCTGGGTGTAATGTTACATTCAAACCACATTAGGTGTTGTCCTTGAACCATACACGTTATTCCAAGTACCAAACAACAAGTATCTCTGGAATATTTACCACTGGTATCTATTGCAATAGACAATGGTTACTGTTGAAAACAAACAAACCAAAAAGCATTCAACATGTAATCAGTTCAATTAGAACAAACAGCATTAATGCAGGAATCACTGTGGACTTCTCCCTGCTAGACACCAAAATTCAAGAAAGTCCAGAACAGTGAAGGTGTATTTGCATCACTGTTATTATAGCTTGCATTAATAAATCCTCTAGGAAAGGACTTGGCCGCAGTGCAGAGGACACTCATGGCTCTGGGCAGCATCGCGGTGACAAAAGATGACGGCGCCTTCAATGGAGATCCCAACTGGTTCTTCAAGTGAGTTACAGATGATCACACTTCAGAGATTACACGGATTGTTTTGTCTAGGGTTATAAATCAAAAAGTATGGTTTTGTTTAATTTATCGATGTTGATTATTTGCAGGAAAGCTCAGGAGAACCGGAGAGATTTCTCTGACAACCAGATTAAAGAGGGGAAAAATGTCATCGGTCTGCAGATGGGATCCAATAAAGGGGCGTCCCAGGCTGGCATGACAGGCTATGGTCGACCTCGACAGATCATGAACCCATGAGCCAAACGTTCTTACCTCGGTTCCCTGACCATCACTAATCATTTGACTCCAAATGTTTCATTCAGAGTTTGACCAGAATGACAGAGCAATAAATATAATAAAAAATAACACCACTTGGTATCAAAATAAGTTTCCATGTCTGTAGTCAATCCCTATTTTTGTGTAACATATTCGGTCGAATTGCAACATACTTTATTGAACAGAGTAGAATTTTGTTTTTCAGCGGAGTGCAAAATGACCGATTGTGCCGTTTAACATTTCATCTTTGCAAGTTGACATACAATCAAATCGAACCCCATTTACTTTCTTTGTACACATTCCTGGTCTTAATGTTAATGATTCATTGGTGTATTTTATTCCAAAGGAAAAAAAGTCTTAGGCCCAGTTTTACTGACAGAGCTTAGATTAACCCGTTTCCATACAAAGGTCGCCGACGGCTCCAGATAATTGTTGTTTTACATTCACTGCACCTTAAAACATCACACTCTTACTTGATCTGGACAAACTGAGTAAAGATTAAAGACTCCAGATTCGATGTTTGACCACTGTTTGTGATAAAACTAGGTTGCAGTGACATAAATTTCTTAAGGAGTGCAAAATAATCAATCTGTAATGTTTGATATTTTGAATAGAATAATTCAGTTCATTCATTTTCTCTCACGTCTGTTCTGGTTTGTTTGTGTTCACATAGATGCACTAGACAATGTCTGTGTCAGTGTCAGCTGATTCCGCATATGGCTGTCAATCATCTTACGTGGCATAATTCCTGCCTTCTGCATGACCACGTCCTGTGTAAACTTCCTGCTTCACAGCTCTGTGAAAAACAAAGCCAAATAAACGTTTTACACGTCAAACATTTAGAATAAACACACAATTACGATAGTATATGATTTGTGTGGGATATTCATGCGATTTGGGGTTTATTCATATGAATAAAGAATGTTTACAGTATACATGCTAACCACGTGTAGCGATTAGCTCCAAATAAAATGCTAAATATGACATATTTCAACAACATTATATGACCAAAATCCATATTAGATTGCAATCGGAAGTTATTAAAAAAACACTCGTTGGTCGTTTAAAGTGAGTTTTGAAGAAAAAGTGTGTATCTTTAATCTTTTAAATTGTGTTATATAGCTTGATGCTAATTGTAGCTCTAATGCACCTGCTGCGCCAGGAGCTATTTCTATTTCACAATCTATTTTGTTACAAGAATTCACACAAGGTCCCAAGAATATGCCTTTTTTTTTTTAGAAAGACTTAAGGCAATAGGTGAATTAACAAATCTAGAATGAAAGTGATATGGATGGGTAAGTAATCAGGGATGTGATTGTGCGAGTGAAAAAAAGCAGTAAATTTTTTAAGACTGAGCGTAAAGCACTTTTTACTTTTTAAACACCTGAATCAGCCATTTACTGCATGAACTACCAGGAACTGTGATGAGTGACACACATGGAAATATATTTAACAGCTATAATTTCTTTCTAGTAATACAAAACAGGACATATTAACTTATCTTTGGGGAAAATGTAAGGGCGATAACTGTTCTGTAGTTCTGTAAAGAAAACAACTGTGTTTCCAATACCGATCAATCTCATTCAGTAAATAAAATTCCACTCAAACTTCTACAATAGGAATAGGCAACATAAAATGTTTTTTGTGTTTTGGTAAACTGCACATGACATCATATTCTGGCTACACAGATAAAACAACCTAAGAACCATTTATGGATTATATTAATGCTTTTTACGCATTAGAAAATGAAGACTACACAATCTTATTAGCATGATGAATAAATTATATTAACTGGAATAAACTGTACACAGAAAAGGAGCAGAGAATGTGACCGATCGAGCTTTGCGTGCTCTTTATACGCATAAATTACCTTTTACGTGCATCCAATAAGCAATTTAGCGCCATAGGCTACAAATGATACGCACTTTTTTTGCCTACCAGATGCACGTATTACGTATTACATATCGTTAGCCTCATAGCATAATTGCCTAAGTCATTTTTTTGCCAAATTGTGATATCTGCCTAATTTTACTGTCCTTCCACTGCTGCATCATCCTGCCTTTCTGCCAATGTCCTTAGCCAATCACAACACTTATTGGGATCCAAAAACACTATCTGCCTCAGTCATCTCTTTGACTTAGACAGTTTTGATACAAACAAAATGGCAAAAAACGTGGAAAGACAGATGTCCAGAAGTGATGTATTAGCTCTTCTGTTTGATTCGTTTTATCTGGTAAGAGTTCATATTTCTTAAATTTTCTAGACACTAAATGTAATTCCAGTCAATCAAAGGGATTATAAACTGAACACATTTTTTGCTACAAGATAAGTAGCTAGCAATTTCTGGTCAGAACATCACCATAAAAAGACATTTAGGTCATTTTAGGCAAGTGAAGTAATTTTTCAAGCATTTACTTTTTATTTTAAGGGCAAATAGATTTGTTTTAGAAATTAGACATTTAGAAATTAGACATTTTGACTAGACATAAGAAGTATTTGGTAAGATTTAGAATTTTTTTTGGGTAACACTTTACAATAAGGTTCATTAGTTAACTACATTAATTAACATTAACTAATAATGAACTGCACTTATACAGCATTTGTTCATCTTTGTTAATGTTAATTTCCACATTTAGTAATACTTTATTAAAATCTTGTTAATATTAGTTAATGCACTGTGAACTAACATGAACAAACAATTAACAGTTTTATTTCTATTAAATAACATTTACGAAGATTAATAAATACTGTAACAAATGTATTACTCATTGCAAGTTCATGTTAGTTAATACATAATGTTTAATAAATTAACCTTTTTGTAAAGTGTTACCTTTTTTTTGCAGTGAACATATGAATTGTGTTCAAATATTCAACAGCACTTTATGTTCTGCTTTATTGTCAGGAAATGTAGTGGAGTTAGAGGATTTAGATGAGTAGACCTGAGAAAGAAGGTAATGACGTAGACATGAGGCAACAGATAGAAGAGGAAACAGCCAGTAAAGCCTCCAGAGCTGAATCAGATCCTGATTTATAGTCAAATAGTGAAATCGATGACACTGTCTTGGATGAGGACTATAGACCTGAGAAAGATGACAGCCCAGATAATGGTAGTGATACAGACACAGCTCAACACAGTGAAGGACATGCAGGAGCCGCTGCTGTTCAACGTCATAGACGTCCAAGGCCAGATAAGTGGAAGCGAGAGGTGATAGAGAAGCGTCTTAAGGGGGAGATTTACAAGAATACAATGGGACAGGAGAGACCACCAAAGACCATGGGTCCACCCTGCACATCACAGCACTGCTTAAAGTCGGAGAAACGAAGTTGTGAACTACTGACTGAAGAGGAGAGAACCGATATCTTCAACAATTTCTGGTCCATGCCCTCCTGGGAGACACGCAAGCTGTATATCCAGACTCTAGTTGAAAATGTGCCCATAAAACAGAAGAAAGGCGGTGTTGCATCAAGGAGAACAACGTCCCTATTTTACCACCTGCAACAGGCAGATAGATGTAAACTACCTGTGTGTAAGAATATTTTCTGTTCAACACTTGGCATCGCCCCCAGAACCATCGGATCATGCATAGTTAACTGTGGACATGAAATCCAAGAGAGAAAAACAACTTTTGTTATGTTATGTTTGCATTTAAATGTAAGAGAAAAAATGCCTAAGTCATGGCATGTTCTGCCTAAGTCACTTTTATTTGTGAGGCAATTGGTGATGGATCTTTTTCTTTTTGTATACTTGTTCACACATCTGGTTGAATGTACTGTTATAATATCAATAAAAAATCACAATGTGATTTCTAAATATTGTGTTTTTTCGTGTTTTCCAAAAACGTTGAAATATGACTTAGGCAATTATGCTATGAGGCTAACGATATGCACTCGTGCTATAGACCTGGGGCACGTTCAAGTTCAAAACGGTGTGCAACGTTTTGCTTCGGTTTCCGGGTTGAACGTCATGTTTCCTGGAAACGGTGTGCAACGGGGTTTGAGATGCGTTTTCTCTTGTTTGGTGGGTGTGTCAGAACTGCAGTCCAATCAGCAGCAACATGTATATAAAGCACACGGTATTAAAGAGAACTCGCACAATGGGTTCAAGGAAAGTAATTTACAAATTATATATACGCAACAACTGAGGATATTTAAGATATGTTTGTCGTAAGTTTTATTGTAAAAATATAGGATATAAATATAATGTAGTTGTTTATATTTTTAGCTTCATTGCAAGTGTGTGACATTTGGTATAGAAATAAACAATGGTAATTAAGTGCTTTTCCTAAAAATGAGAAAGAAAATACAGGGTATTAAAACAGTATGAACTACAAATAAAGTCAGTATGTGAGGCTGAATAGATGTGTTTTAGTCTGAATTAGGTAAGATGTGCTTCCATTTCAGTTTCCACAAATCTCTTCACTCGATTGGGATGTTCTCTTGTGTTCTGGGCGGCAAGTGCAGTAACTGTAACATCGGGCATATTTTGTAGTATTAAACGTTTATACCGACTTCATCAGGCTCCGAAAATTCTTCACAAAGAACACAAAGAATGGCCTTCTCAGCTGCCATACTTGCAACTCTTGCGTCATCAGAACTGTTAAACAGAGCTTGACTAGATATCGGCTAAAGACAGAGAATAAACATGCTTCACACAGGTTGCAGTGAGAACACAGTCAATCGTTTATTGGTACAGGTGCAGCTTAAATAGAGCATCACATGGCATGGACACATGACAAACACACCTGAGAGGAATCCACAATAATTGGGAGCATACTCATTAACCAATCAATCAATTAACACCCCCACTTGCTCACACGTTATTCACAATCATGCAGCCCTAGATACGCAGTGCCAGGTATGAGGTGCCCCTAGGGACATTATTCAGAATTACCTTGCATATACATGTACTTTTCCTCTCACATACACATATAAAACCAAATTCATTCACATACTATAATGAAATGCTCACACACATACAAGTGAAATGCTTTGACAACCACAACTGAAACGCTCTCATACATACAACTGAAAATATTACGCTCACACACACAACTGAAACGCTCACACACACACAACTGAAATGCTCTCATACATACAACTGAAAATATTAT